TTTCGCTCCGAGGGGCTGCCAGCACACACACACATACACAAATGCTTCAACACAGAAACGTAAAAGGCACCCCACGACTCTGTACCGAGTCACCGGATCGCTTAGGACCGCCTGACCCATGGCCAACTGCTGTTCCCATGGAACCCTTCTCCACCTCGGCCTTCAAGGTTCTCACTTGAATATTTGCTACTACCACCAAGATCTGCACCCGTGGCGGCTCCACCCTGACTCACGCCAGAGGCTTCTACGCTCACCACGGCGACCCTCCTACTCGTCATCGCACTCCTTGCCTGCACCATGAATGTAACTGCGATCACACACGCTCGCATAATATACAACCCCCCATGGGGAGATGCAGCTTGCGATGACGGCGCGGTATAGGTCCGACGCTCTAGCGCCATCCATTTTCAGGGCTGGTCAATTCGGCAGGTGAGTTGTTACACACTCCTTAGCGGGTGCCGACTTCCATGGCCACCGTCCTGCTGTCTATATTAACCAACACCTTTTGTGGTATCTCATGAGCGTCAGCGTTAGGCACCTTAACCACGCGTTTGGTTCATCCCACAGCGCCAGTTCTGCTTACCAAAAATGGCCCACTTGGCACTCGCACATTCAACGCCCGACTCCGCGCAGTAGAACACGCACGCACACGAGGCGAGTCGAGCATCTCACCCATTTAAAGTTTGAGAATAGGTTGAGTCCATTTCGAACCCAGTACCTCTAATCATTCGCTTTACCGGATAAAACTGATTATACCAATGAGCGCCAGCTATCCTGAGGGAAACTTCGGAGGGAACCAGCTACTAGATGGTTCGATTAGTCTTTCGCCCCTATACTCACGTTTGACGATCGATTTGCACGTCAGAATCGCTACGGTCCTCCACCAGAGTTTCCTCTGGCTTCAACCTACGCAAGCATAGTTCACCATCTTTCGGGTCTCAACGTGTGTGCTCATGCTCCGCCCCGATGACGCACAGGCTTTACGCGTTTTGTGTTGCCACTCCACGCGCAAGTACACCCATGACCACATCATGAGACGGGCCGGTGATGCGCTCGTTGCCCCAGTTATAATGCCCAGTAGAGAGGTCTACGGCGTGTGTCATGAGTACAACGAGATCTCACCTCGCCACGCTGCACCGCGTATGTGCAGAAGTGCAGCATGAACTTCACTTTCACTGCGCCTAGGGGTTTCGTAGGACCCTTTGACTCGCACACATGTTAAACTCCTTGGTCCGTGTTTCAAGACGGGTCGGGTAGCTCGTCTACCACAGCACCACTGACTATTTCACCCCCGGCACTACAGACACCCGAGACACGCAACACACTGCAGAGCTGCCCAGCATCGAAGCCACCGCCGGACCCACTTTGCGCAGGCAACACGACAGTCAGGCCCAACACTAGGCAGACAGCGGCGCATCCCGATTCAACAGCACCTATGACGTGCGTGCCGAGTACCATATTGAATGAGGTGGAGAACTCCGGTGCCCTGCACAGTTACTTTCACCACTACGAGCCGCCGATCAGAGGGCAAGTAGTCACAGCACTAACCCACTAACCGCTTACAACGGAGAGTGCACGATAACACGCGGCAGCACCGAGGTACCACTGCGCCGTTCACCCATTCCGCCTGCGATCGCGCCCACCCAACACACAAGGTAATCAGGAGGACACGACTTGCTCGCAGCAGACTGGCAGTCCCACCGGTCGTGGTGTTCACCACGGAGAAAATGCACTGACTAGGTGGCCCAACAGACGAGCGGCATGCTCCGGCACCCACCCGGCATGCATAGCGACAACCGACATACGCAAGCGCACATCGATCGCGCCCCACTCCCGAGAGAGGAGTGGACCGCCAAACATCTTACTCCGGCCTCTCGACGCACCAGGCGCGCGTACACTACATCCCAGTCAGCTGAATCCTCCGGGCTCGCAGCTTGACGCCACCCGTTTACCTGCATGCGGCTTCACGTACTGTTTACTCTCTCTTCAGAGTACTTTTCAACTTTCCCTCATGGTACTTGTTCGCTATCGGACTCGTGGCAGTATTTAGCCTTGGATGGAGTTTACCACCCTCTTTGGGCTGCAATCTCAAACAACCCGACTCTGAGGCCGGCCTGGTGAACCATCGCACATGTCTGAACCTCCACCCGTACGGGCCTCTCACCCTCTATGGGCCAAATCCAGTGAAGCCATACTCAATGCTGGACTTCGAGTGGAGTGATGGTCCCGCGAGCCGACCCACACACCACATTGCCTAGCAGCAAAACTGCCGCAGGCTTCGGTGCTGGGCTCTTCCCTCTTCACTCGCCGTTACCAAGGGAATCCTGGTTAGTTTCTTTTCCTCCGCTTATTGATATGCTTAAGTTCAGCGGGTACTCGCGACTGATCTGAGGTCAGGTCTTCCATACATGCATTGTGTGCACATGTGACCTATGCTTATCGTTAGTTAGTTAGTTAGGCTCTCGTGGCTGCTGTATTAAGCATCAGCATGCATTCACCGCAATTCACTTCTCGTGCCTTGTATGCGCACAAATTCGCAGCATACATTCATACACTAGGCCACGGTTAATGAACTGCAGCAGCTATAGCACTCATGCACTACCTCCTTCAACGCTAGCGGATAGTGTTTGGTGGGGACAAGCACACGCACACACACACACACAGCCCCATCACTACCGCATAAGTGGAAGGCAGGAGCGCTAGCGCATAGCGACTGACACTCACAACCACCAGCTCCGTACCACACGCATCGCTATCACCATCGGTAATAGCCATGGCTGTGGCCACACCTTGAAGAGAAGCCCCAATTGCAGTAGTAGCAGCGTATCGTATATACGCACACACACACACAATCTCGCACGCAGACCACTGCAATCATGGCAGTCTCCCAAGCCACTGCTTATTACGCGCAGTGATAGTTTATAAGCCGACGCTCAGACAGACGTGGCCATAGGCAAGCCCATGGCCGCAATATGCGTTCAAGATATCGATGTTCAAAGCAGTCTGCGATTCACATTAATTCACACAGTTGGCTGCACTCTTCATCGATCCACGAGCCGAGTGATCCACCGCATACAGTTCTTTGCATACACACACACGCTTATAGCAGCGCATGGTAGTATATTGTAGGCTCACACACAATACAAGTATTGCGCGTGCACCGCATGCATGAAAGCGCCACCGCTTGGTGAGCAGCAGCAACTGACAGCATGTTTCGATATGACGAGGCAGTAAACGGTAAGCCAGAGGCGCACACGTCTACTCATCATCAATTTGGTACACAATGTAATAAGTGTATAAACTCGACACATAGTGGGGCGCGCAAGGGAGACATCGCACACACACACACACCAGCGTTGCCCCCATTCAAACGTCTTATGCCTCGCACATGGGCTGCGAGAGACTTGCAGCCCATGCACTATTCCACCTCCTGGGATATGGACCAGCATGCCGGATGCGAGCATATCACCACTAGGGTATTAGGTGGACCAGGCACCCCACCGCAGAGTAGTTATTATCGTAGGGTAAATACGATTCAGCATACCACCACCACCAGCGGCGGGGAACGATTGCTCGTCCACTCACCGACAGCAGCAGAAGCAGCAGCAGTAGAAGCAGGACACATAGAAGAATGTGTGCCAGCTTGTGTGTATTGGAACGTGTAATGATCCTTCCGCAGGTTCACCTACGGAAACCTTGTTACGACTTTTACTTCCTCTAAATGATCAAGTTTGGTCGTCTTCTCGGCGCCGGCTAGATACGCACCTTTCGGCGGAACCTAAATGGCACCAATCCAAGGACCTTACTAAACCATTCAATCGGTAGTAGCGACGGGCGGTGTGTACAAAGGGCAGGGACGTAATCAGCGCAAGCTTATGACTTGCACTTACTAGGAATTCCTCGTTCACGGGGAACAATTCCAAGCCCCGATCCCTGTCATGACGGTGATTGACCAGTTTGCCCAACCTTTTCAGGCCAGAAGGTCTGACTCGTTGACACCGCCATTGTAGCGCGCGTGCGGCCCCGGACATCTAAGGGCATCACAGACCTGTTATTGCTCTATTTCGTGCGGCTTCTCCCGCGTGTCCCTCTAAGAAGTAAGCATTCGCGCCGCACCTGCTAGCTAACGTGGTGCCATCCGCCCCAGGCACAACATGCAGGCCTAACACGCCGCGCATAGCCCCACACAGCCACACCACACGAGGCAGTGCGACCACGCAGGATGCACAAACGCGCCGGTTCCTGCACTGAGCCAGAGCAGTTGACACTGCGCCGCTCGGCTGGTGCAGTGGACAAATGCACTAATTAGCAGGCTGGAGTCTCGTTCGTTATCGGAATTAACCAGACAAATCGCTCCACCAACTAAGAACGGCCATGCACCACCAACCACCAAATCAAGAAAGAGCTATCAATCTGTCAATCCTCACAGTGTCCGGCCCGGGTGGGTTTTCCCGTGTTGAGTCAAATTAAGCCGCAGGCTCCACTCCTGGTGGTGCCCTTCCGTCAATTCCTTTAAGTTTCAGCTTTGCAACCATACTTCCCCCGGAACCCAAAGACTTAAAGGTTTCCCGGGGACTGCCCGTGGGGAAGGTTTAGAAACTACCGCCACGGATCGTCAGTTGGCATCGTTTATGGTCAGAACTAGGACGGTATCTGATCGTCTTCGAGCCTCTGACTTTCGCTCATGGCCAATGAAAACATGCTTGACGAATGCTTTCGCTTTAGTTTGTCTGGCTACGGTCCATGAATTTCACCTCTAGCGCAGCCATACAAACGTCCCCGCCTGTCTCTTTTGATCATTACTTCGGATCCGAAAACCAACGAAATAGAACCGAAGTCCTATTCCATTATTCCATGCAAAACTTTTCAGGCGACATCGGCCTGATTTGAGCACTCAAATTTGTTCAAAGTAAACGTGCCATCCGCCCATGAACACCTTTTAAAGGGCATCCACTGGCATGCAGGCGAGCCGGCTAGGCCCCACAGAAGGTGCAGAGCAC